GCTTTTCGCTTGAGATTTGCTAGTTTCGGCTTGCTTTAGGATTGTTTCGGCTTGCTTTAGGATTGTTTCAGTTTTATCGGTGTGGGTTGGGGGGGGGGTCGTTGCTAGAAATTGTATGTAATGTTAGGGGAGTGGGGGGGGGAGGTGTCAATGGAAATCTGATGCTAGTGATACACATGTCCTACTAGTGATGCACGCATAGCCATATATCCTACTAGTGATACACACATATCCTACTACTACATATATCCTCTTTGCGATACACATATATCGCCGAATAGGATGGCGCACCGAATAAGACGGGGCACCAAATAGGATTGGGCACCGAATAAGACGGGGCACCAAATAGGATTGGGCACCGAATAAGACGGGGCACCAAATAGGATTGGGCACCGAATAAGACGGGGCACCAAATAGGATTGGGCACCGAATAAGACGGGGCACAACTCCGACGGACAGATGGGCGGACATAAATGTAAATGTGCCCTTCTAGAGGATTGTTTCCCCTTGACCCTCCGTCAATAAGACCAAAGGAAACCGTCTGGAAATGTGCGATTTTCCTCGTTGGAGATTGGCGACCCACGAACCCACGCGAACATGGAGATTGGCGACCCACGAACCCACGCGAACATGGAGATTGGCGAACCACGAACCCACGCGAACATGGAGATTGGCGACCCACGAACCCACGCGAACATGGAGATTGGGGACCCACGATGCCACGCGAACTTGGAGATTGGCGACCCACGAACCCACGCGAACATGGAGATTGGGGACCCACGAAGCCACGCGAACTTGGAGATTGGCGACTCACGAACCCACGGGAACATTACGCTACAGTAGATAAGGCCAATAGCTTGGCGTTAAAAGAAGATTCAACCAGCGGTCAGCTGGAACCGGTTCTGTCTTATTCGAGCAAACGGTTGTTAAATATTGACTATTTTAGTGAACCGGTTGTTAAATTTAGACCATTCTACTGAACCGATTGTTTAAATTTGACTATTGTTCTAAACTGGTTGTCAAACTTTGACAATTCTAATGAAAAGGTTGTTAAATTTTGACTGTTCTACCTAACCAGTCAGGTCCTTGATCAACGCCACAATGCTCCTACTCACCTAGAGCTGTCACACGTAGGAGATAGCTACCCCGCCACTTTTACATCATTGAAGGCTTCTTTTCCACGCCACTGTTACATCATTGAAGGCTTCTTGTCTATGCCACGGTTACATCATTGAAGGCTTCTTGTCCACGCCACGGTTACATCATTGAAGGCTTCTTGTCCATGCCACTGTTACATTATTGAAGGCTTCTTGTCCATGCCACTGTTACATTATTGAAGGCTTCTTGTCCATGCCACTGTTACATCATTGAAGGCTTCTTGTCCATGCCACTGTTACATTATTGAAGGCTTCTTGTCCATGCCACTGTTACATCATTGAAGGCTTCTAGTCCATGCCACTGTTACATTATTGAAGGCTTCTTGTCCATGCCACTGTTACATCATTGAAGGCTTCTTGTCCATGCCACTGTTACATCATTGAAGGCTTCTAGTCCATGCCACTGTTACATTATTGAAGGCTTCTTGTCCATGCCACGGAACATGAGTTGTTTAAGAATTCTGCTGTCCGGCAATCTTGCACCATGCACTGCCCATGTGGCTTGTCCTTTTTGTAGGAGCGGTGGATGCCTGAAACGAAACCAGTTGAGACCAATGTCATTCGATGTTACCAAAACACCATTACCGGTGTCATGGGACGTAACCAAAACACCATTACCGGTGTCATGGGACGTAGCCAAACACCATTACCGGTGTCATGGGACGTAGCCAAACACCATTACCGCTATCATGGGACGTAACCAAAACACCATTACAGGCGTCATGGGACGTAACCAAAACACCATTACAGGTGTCATGGGACGTAACCAAAACACCATTACCGGTATCATGGGACGTAACCAAAACACCATTACCGGTGTCATGGGACGTAGCCAAACACCATTACCGGTGTCATGGGACGTAGCCAAACACCATTACCGCTATCATGGGACGTAACCAAAACACCATTACAGGCGTCATGGGACGTAACCAAAACACCATTACAGGTGTCATGGGACGTAACCAAAACACCATTACCGGTATCATGGGACGTAACCAAAACACCATTACCGGCGTCATGGTACGTAACAAAACAAAAACCAGTTCAGCAGTTATGACAAATCCTCCCCCTTCCCACCACCCCACCCCGCCCCCTCCACCACCCCGGCCCTCTCCCACAACCCCCTCCCCCCGACCCCAACCCCCTCCCCCAAGATCACTGCGTGACGTCGTAGGTGACGATCCTTCTAACTTTAAACAAAAAATACACTTGAAAACAAAAAAATATACCTAAAACAAAAAAATATACCTTAAACAAAAAATATACATCAAACAAAAATATACTTTAAACAAAAATATACTTTAAACAAAAATATACTTTAAACAAAAAATATACTTTAAACAAAAATATACTTTAAACAAAAATATACTTTAAAAAAAACAAAAAAAAACAACTACAGACAACCTCACGCCAATCAGTTCAGAAATGGTTGTCATAGCAACTTGTCAATGTGGTCAGGGGAAAACTAAACCAAGCAAAACAACACAAAACAATATGTAAAAATACAAATAAATATTTATTGCTTTGATTTTTTGTAACTCTTAAATTCTTCCCCATGGTTGGATTATTGATATAGTAGCGGGGGCTCTTGGGATATTGGAAGATATTTTAAACTTTTTATGCACGCGCCACCCACCCCCCCCCACCCCCACCCCCCCCCCCCCCCCCCCCCCCACCCCCCCCAAATAAACACTCTCATCGTTTCTAACACTGTGTCTCTCCGTTTTCTGTGACTTTACCAACTATTTGTGGCCAGTGGTAATAGTGTGCCTCTCAGTCCTCTTAACCAAATAGCACTGACCAGTGGGTATAGTGTACCTCTTGCTCCCACCTCTGACTTTCTCACATTTCCGTGGCCCTTATTTCATCTAACGGGCCCTAATTGGTCAAATCATTCATCAGAGCGGCTATTGAACTGAGTGTCGTATTTTATCGATCCGATGCTGCGCAGTGCGCCTCGCCGAGTGAGTCATGTCCCGGGAATGTGGTGTCACTGTCTCTCGTGGTGTGAGCAGAAGCGTCGGGTCAATCTTATGACATCAGGGGCTCTCGTTTTGTTAGCAGAAGTTTCGTTCAACTCACCCACATCAGTGGTTCTCAAAAACAGGCGTCCCAGCCCTATCCCCTTCCTCAGAGTCCTGGGTTGCATCGAAAAAAAATAATCTGGGGGTCAGGGTTGCTCCTGAGAGGTGATTATTTGTGTGAAATTAATTAGCTGTTGGTATAGATGAAACAGCTTAACGCGTTCAGCTGACCAAAACTGTATTGAGATGTTTACCGTTTCAAACGTAGGTTAGCACCAGGTTACGTTTCAATTCAAATGTTATAGGTTATTAGGTGTGGTCAGTGGTGCCAGTCAAATGAATTCTACTGCTGCATAGTATTGGGTTTATCCCTTGCACATTTGAAGAAATGTTTTTTTAAAGATTATTTTATGAAAATATTTTTTTTTTTTAAATTCTATATTGTTTGTTGCTGTAATTGGATTTTTACAAAACTGTATTCCTTCCCCAACACGCCATTAAGTTACTCTTGTATACGACAGAGGCGGCGATCTGATAGGCGTTAGCTAGAGATTTCCTTGTGTCGTTATTGACCCAGAAGCGTAGCTTGGGTGTTAGACCCCCCCCCCCCGGGGACAAGATGCATTTTAAAGCCTCCACCCCTTTTAACTCTGAAACCCATTATTTTCATTTTTAAAAGTCATACAAGCTCATGTTGACGCCCCAGTTATTGACCCAGAAGCGTAGCTTGGGTTTTCGACCCCCCCCCCCCCGGGGACAAGATGCATTTTAAAGCCTCCACCCCTTTTAACTCTGAAACCCATTATTTTCATTTTTAAAAGTCATACAAGCTCATGTTGACGCCCCCCCCTCCCCTATTCTGGCACCTGGGGACATCTGTCAGCCCCCGCCCCCCCCCCACACACACATTAGCTACATCTTGTATTTACCAGCTTACATGTTTTAAATGTGAGAATGCTGATACAGATGCAGTTATTACCTGATCACACTTGACGAATGACAGGAAGGCTTCTACAATAGTCGTAACTGTAAAAAAATAGTTAATTTCTAGCGCCATTAGTGGCGTAAGAAGGGGGTGCGGAGACAGCGGTGCGGCCACCACCCCCCCCCCCCCCCGCGTCATTTTCAAATTAATGCTGAGTTTTTTTAGTGGAAGTGGGCGCCAAAAAGCTTGCACCCCCTCCCCTCCCCATAGTCATAGCGGTACTAAGCCTAGTGACCCTAGCCACGCCAATGATTACCTAAATTAATATGTTTAAGTAAATGTATAAAGTGTTTGTAGCAAATAACAAAAATAACAATGTGGTGAAATAGTGGTGTGTACGTAGGTTTTTTAGATTAAATTTATAAATGTGAGATTTCGAACTATTATGGTTAAACTAATATCATAGGCTTTTAGCAGTGGACATGAGACATTCCCTTAATTGGGCGCTATTGTTATTATTGTCTTAGAAACATCGCGATCTCTGGCGTCTAGCTCCCCACCTTTATAACTTATAGCCATAGCTAAATTTTATTGTACCTGCTCAACATTGAATTGCATCTGATGAGCTATTGGTAAAGGCATTTGTAAATTGCTCACCATCCACTGGACAAGTCGCACAGATCAATAAATTTAATTCCAATTTTTTTTTTTTTAATGTTAGACTATATTTTATTATACTTTTTAAACCCTTTTAACTTTTACTTTATCTCCCCTGCCTTCTTGGCAGAAACGAAAGGTTTTCCCACTTTGTTAAATTTGTCTATTTTTAGTTGGAAATTCCAATTTAAAAATAAATTGTGACGTTTTAGTTCACTAGCGCCATCTGTTAGCCGAGCTTCAGGGATTTCTCTTAAAACTAATATGGCGTAAAGCTCTTCACACCATATCACCATTACGAAGTCTATCAACAACTTGTTACAGCAAAAATGGCCATGTCGAACATGTTTCCGGAAGGTAGTGTAATTTAAGTTTTCTATTGGATTACATTTGATTCATTTTAAGACTTTTTAAGTGGCTAATAGTACGTTAATAAATTTTTGTTAACTCCAGTAACGATAACAAACCCGCCATGTTTTTATTTTAGATTTAGATTGGCTGTTGAGCCTGTTGTCTGCATCATTGTATGTTAAAGGTTTTTTTAAAATATATCTTACCCCAAATTAAACTGTTTTAAAGCCTTGTATAGCCCTACAATTTTTGCATATTCAGGAGGTCTTAATAATGACGCATTCGACCTATAATTTTTCTTGAAGTAGTCAATTTATTATTTATGGGGATTGGACTAGGACTGGACTATTTAATTTTAATTTCTAAAAAAATTAAAAGCCCACTTACATTTATTTAATATTAATTATGATTGGTTGATTTTTTTAGAATTTCACCGACAAGTCCCAATAAGTTTTTAACAGAATAGTTACTTGTTAGGCTTAAGTCTGCTAAAGAGGAAAGCAAACTGAACTTTTTAAACTGGCTAAACTTTACTAAACTAAATCTAAAGTGACTAGGCCCAAGTATTAGTAAGCAAATATAATCTAGTCTCTAAACAAATGTAAACATTCTAATAGCTAATGAGGCTTAATGACAAGAAGTATTCATACTCATTAGGGTTAGGGCCTAATGAGCCTAATGTCAATGTGGTTATGGGAATATTAGGCAGGGTTGAGGGTGTTATTTAATTTATCACCAAGTCCAAAAAAGTGAGGCAAATGTTACATCATTCACATCCAATCATAATATTTAATATATTAAATATATATTAATATATTTATTTACTGTAATTGTAACATACTATACTATAAGTATAAGATTAAGATATATTCTAGGGATTTAGGCCAGGCCTAAAATTTATAATTTGTGTGAAAAGCTGAAACTGAAGGGACTTCAGGACAGAACTTAATTTTTTAGACATACTTCACATACAGTCCAATTAATTAGCCCAATCATCAATGAGGCCAATGCCAATACAATTCCCAGGGAGTAGGCCTGCAGTGCCTTAATGCTAGTTATTTTAAAAAGTTAATATAAGTTAGGAAGTAGTTCTAGACTTGGCCTATCCCAACATGTACGGTCCGAAGTTTCATAAAATTAAAGTAAGGATAAATTTAACTGTTTTTATTCTGGGATTAATGATAATAAAATTGTGCAACAAGGTTTGTCTCTCTTGGCATTAGTTTCAGACAGAAATATGGTATGATTTATGCTATTTGATAAATTTTATATTACTAGGCGACCCGTGGCGTAGCATACGCCGCGAGCTTGTTGGGATGTGCGCATGGCTGACAAGCGAGGGTGAAACATTGGCGACAGCAATGCATGAACTTTCCATCTACTAAAGTTACTTGACAAAAACGTGAACTCAAGTTACGCACATTTAAGAATGCCAATTTTGCTACACCTCTTTCCCCCCCCCCCCTTTTTTTTTTTTTATAATACGTGTCACTGCACACTTTTTATTTCACGCCCATGAACTATATAAATATAGACAACCTGCGGCTTAGCAGACGCCGCGAGCTTGTTGGGGTGTGCGCATGGCTGGAAAGCGAGTGTGGTGCAGGGGGGGTGCGGTAGCTCGAGACCAACGATGGACAGGCATGGGAAGGGAGGGTTTGCCTGCATTTTGCTTGCTCTGGCGTATCTTTATATAGCCTGTGTGGTCGTCGTCTTCTTGTTTGTCCTACTTCTGGCGAATTATAGATTGGCGTTGGCCTATCATTGTTTTCCCAATAAATTTGTGTCGGTCAACACTACTACTTGGGGCCATCCATAAATGACATCACACTGAATCAGAGGTACGGGGTGGACCACAAATTTGTGAACATGTGTTACCAAATTTGCCAAATCCAGGTATAAATCCGAGTACTATCTACATTTTTCATGGTGAAACTTACCGTAAATTACTGTGAATAATGCATTCCATGTTTAACTCCATGTCTACATATAATGTGATAGTTAATATAATAATAATAATATAATACAAATTAAAGAAATGAAAATTTAAATATAAATGTCAAAATCCTTTAAATTATTATATTTAAAATGAATTGTGGTCATACTGATACAACTATGCTTATTTCTCTTCAAACGGGTGCTACTATCATTTCTGTTGTTATGCACATATTGTGCGTGCTCGATTGCTGAATGGTTCCATAGGCATTAGTAGGCCTTTAATAATATGTCGTTTACCAGTAATGGAAAATTTCTTAAGCGCGCGTTTAATCCCCTTATTTTAACACTTTAAATCCACACAGCACATAGAGTAAAAAACAACTTCTATCCACATGAAGGTACACTGAAAAATAATCTTAGATCTTAATTGCACTCAGCTTTATCATCTGAATCCATTTAAAAAAAAAAATTCTATCGATCGATGGAAAATAGACAAACCACCATCGAATCAGACTTTAAACAACTTGTTTTTATTTAAAAGTTGTGATTTATCCATCTGGAAAGGAGGTAAACATGTTAGAATGTGTGCTTTTTGTTTTCTTTCTTTCAAAGCTGATGTTTGTTTTTTTGGGGTGGGGTTTCATGCTTTTGGTGAGAAATGAACTCCAATCAACCCATTTTAATACGGAAATTAATGAATATCTCTAAAACTTTAATTTTCCAATAAATATTTGGATCGCCATCTGTTGTAATAGAATTATTTGCAGAGGCTAATATGTGAAGAAATTTGTTATTTGTCCAAAGCAATTTCTGGTTGTTCCCTAATATATATAATATTTATATGTATAATAGTATTAATAATGATTTGTTTTTATTTGTGCCAAGAGTATCTATATATATATATATATCTTTATATATATATGTATATATACAAACACACAAGAAAGGAATATATTTTCATTTTGTAGCTTAAGTTTTTTAGAAAGTCATAAAATAATCCTTTTAATTTTTTAAAGTATTTCTTTTTACAAATGTAACCTAGGCATTATTTAATACGTATCAAAAGATTTTTTAATTCCTTATTTCTTAGTAATGCTTAAAATAAATTTTTGCTCCCGCAGAATTTGATTTTGGAGAGTTACAAAACATGAACCAGAGTGAAATTATGAGAATTGTTGCAAATATGAATGATGAAACAGCTGGACAGCTGTTTAACCATATGCAGACTCAGCATCACCTACAGTCTACCCCTGATCATGGTGAGATCCTGCTGGACTTGCTCACCATAATCTATTATTAGCCTAATATCTGGAAATTATTTTTTATATATAATATAATATTAGCATTTGTTTTTAACAAATTTATGAATGTCATCAGCCAAGTTCATCACAGTCTGTTAAAAATTCTTAAACTATTAACATTTTTTATCACAGGTATTTCCGTTCAAGAATCACACCCTGGTCACCCCATGATTTATCAAAGTGGTAATATTGTTTACCCTCAACCTTCCACAAATTACCCCCCACCCCCACATGCCCCAATCCCACCACAGCCATCTCATCAACCTGTTCAAAATGGAGCACCTTGGGTGGAAATTGTAGAACAGCCTAAATCTAGGGGCCTTAGATTCCGCTATGAGTGTGAGGGTCGGTCAGCTGGAAGTGTGCCTGGAGAAAACAGTACCAATGACCACAGAACATATCCTACCATAAAAGTAATTAAACTTTTCAATACTAAATGGGCAATTAATAATTTAGTTATGAAAACGGAAATTGCATTTTAAAAGAATATATTTGTTTTGTATTACTTGACAAAAATGCATGATTAAAGTATGAATTTTTAATGCAACTTTAAAATGTTAACAATCTAGATTCACAACTACATTGGTCCAGCTATCATTGTTGTCTCTTGTGTGACAAAAGAAAACCCTCCACACTGCAAGCCACATCCTCATGCCATTGTGGGTAGGGACTGCAAGAAGGGTGTGTGTACATTAAGAGTGAAGGACACCAGTGAAAAAATAGTGTAAGTAGTTTGTAGTGAAACAAGTTTCTAGCTAAATTCTTTCGTTTAGGCATTTTTTCATTTTTATATATTGTTTAAAGAAATATGTCTTCGTTTAATTTACATTTTTTAAAATTTACAATTTGATGCAACTTGCTTATAAATTTTTTTGTTAAATATCTTAAATTATTTAATGAAATTATGTCAATCTCATGTACAGATTCCCACAAATAGGCATCCAATGTGCCAAGAAAAAAGATGTTGAAACCTCATTACGGTTAAGGAAAGAAATTAATGTAGATCCATTTCAAAGTGAGTTTTTTAGAGTTATGTCTTAACCGAAGCTTTGAAAATGTTAATTTGAAGGGGAAGAATTAACGGCTTGGCATAGCAAAGCAGTTCTATGCATGGGGAGGTTTTTAAAAATGTACCACTGACACACAAGTCTACCCGTAATAGTTGATCTGGACAATATTGGGGACTCGTTAACTCATTCCCTCCAGCAATGCTACTTCTGTACTTAATTTATTTGCCTGAGAAAGGGAAGTAACTCTGTTTGCCATTGATTTTTATTTTAAAAATATTTATTTAAGCTAATAAATATTATTTAATGTTAATGAATTAAGAACAAATGCAACAAAAAAATTAATAAGGTTTAATATATATATAACATTGGGGGGGGGGAATAACGAACAGAGACCAAAAAATCAATTTTAGGCACCCCGAACGAACACATGCGACATATAGACGCGCCATATTAAAGCACACATAGTTTTAAAGTGAAACAAGATAAAAAAACTTCTGGTTTTCACATTAAAATCACGCTGAACCACGCCATCGCCGGAAGTCTCGAGGGATGCGAGATTTCATTGCTATTTTTAAATAGATGTGAGAGAGGTGTGTCGCTATGCGCCAGGATGCATTTGGGCGCATCCGGCAGGCAAAACCCATAAAGGACGCATTTAGTCGCAAACGTCGGGAATGAGTTAAATTAGACATTAAAAGAGTCCCTGCAGTGTGTGTGGATGAGTGTTTTGTTCCCAATAATTTTTTTTAAACACTATTAGTTTGTTAGTCATGCATTCCCTATGTTATCTTTAACAGGAGAAACTTTAAGTGGTCAATCTTAAAATTGTACGCTTGCGAATTCTTGTACCCTGTAATTAAAAAAGCACAGCAGAAAACTGTTTTTTTTTGGGGGGGGGGGGGAGAATATGGATGGATGGGTTATCAAGGGTTAAATAATAAAAGTTTTGTTGTGTATGATGAATTGCATCTTATTTTTAAATGTTGAAAGCCTTAAAAGCAGTTCTCAAATTATTTCTCAATGCATTTTTTCAAAACTGACTATTAATTAATTTCATTTTTTGTGGGGGGGGGGGGGGAGAATATGGATGGATGGGTTATCAAGGGTTAAATAATAAAAGTTTTGTTGTGTATCATGAATTGCATCTTATTTTTAAATGTTGAAACCCTTAAAAGCAGTTCTCAAATTATTTCTCAATGCATTTTTTCAAAACTGACTATTAATTAATTTCGTGTCTTTTACAAAAAATACCCTCTAAAGAAACGTATGCACCTTCAAAATAAAACAAATTTGAAAACTGCTTTGCATTAATATCTATTTCAGTTTTCTTTTTAGAATCCACTTTCCTTCAAGCTTTGTCATTTATTCCTCAGCTGGTTTTGATCACGCTCAATCCAATATTGACCTAAATGTTGTCCGCCTATGTTTCCAAGTCTTCTTGCCTAATGAACAAGGCAAAGTTACTCGAGTAGTGCCACCTGTGTGCTCCCATGCTATCCATGATAAAAGTAAGTACTGGAAGATTTTGTAAGTACTGTAGTTATATGCCTTCAAATGAAGATTAAGATGAATACATTTTTTTAACAAATTTTATTTACTAATTAATGAGTCTTTATTAACAGTAAAGGTGTTCAATAATTTTCTCCAAATATATTTTTCCAATTTTTTATAGCAAATTTCCTTACAATAATATATGCTTGGTATGATATGGTAAATCAATATTTAAATTCCACGTTTTAACAATCTTTGTACCGTTATTTTCCAGAGTCATCCAAGGATCTTGTAATATGCAGGATTGATAAGAGCTCAGGGAAAGCTAGGGGAGGAGATGAAGTATTTTTGTTATGTGACAAAGTAAATAAAGGTAAGGCACATCTTTCTGTCTATATCAAATAATATGTAAACAGTTTGAAAAAATATTCATTGCTCAAATCATTTTAAAAAATCTTCCTATACCATTTTTAAAATAAAGCAACAGAATTTATAAATATCATAATCAAATAAATTGATCCGTTTATATATCTTATTGATTGTTCACTATCATATTATAATCTTAAGTTTTCTTTTAGTTTTATGTCCCAAGGATGGAAATTACAAATAAATGAGTATTGGAACAAACAACTAGATGCTTACTTTGCAAAGTATAAATTGGACCATCAGTTTAAAGAAAATATATTTGTAGTTCAAACAACATGGACACTAGTTTCATGATCTAGAAAATTTATTATCAAGTTCGTTTACTGACCCCAAATGCTTCTTTAAAAATTTTATTATTGGCTTTGTTTCAGAGGATATAAAGATCAGATTTTATGAAGAAAATGATCAGGGAAATTTTGTGTGGGAAGATTTTGGAGATTTCGGACAAGGAGATGTCCACAGACAGGTGAGATATTGTAGGAGATTTCAGGTTGTGTCCTTTGCCAGCCTTAAGTTTTGACAGTTTTGAACAAGGTCTTGTCCTTTTGTTATACCTAGTCTACAATTTTGCACAGGGACTTTTCCTTTTTTTATAATTAGCCTACAATTTTGTACAAAGACCTGTCCCTTTGTATAATTAGCCTAAAATTGTATTAAAGGACTTTTCCTTTTGCTATATAGCCTGCAACTAAAGTTTTGTTTTTTTTCAATTGCAGTATGCCATTGTGTTCAGGACGGCCCCTTACCATAACTTGGAAATTACAAAGCCAGTTGAGGTATTAATGCAGTTGCAGAGGCCATCTGATGGAGAAACAAGTGAACCAATACCTTTCACATACATGCCTGAAGATCCAGGTAATTATTTTTGTTTTGTTTTTCATTTTCAGTTCAAAACTAAATCTAAACTTTAATGTATTTCTTCCATCAGTAATGACATAACCTTTCAGCAGTAGGAGTGATCATTGGCTGAGAGGCAACTTCTTTCATTTTAGTTGATAAGATTCACTACCGGTATCATTAAATTTTCAAAGGCTACAGTTGTTAGTTTATTTCTGATATGTGGATTTGCATGAATTTATTCCTAGATATACACTTAACATTTGAATGCATTACATTTGTTGAAATGTATTCATCTGTTTAGATCCAGACAGAATAGCTGAAAAGAGGAAAAGAAAAGCTCAACGTTTCTTGGAGTATTGGAATGCTGGTAAGTCTGCTTGTGATGTCCTTTGTTCACATATGGTTTAAGATAATTTTTATCATATATACCTTTCGTCCAGTTTTCAGTAAATGAAGAAGAAAAACTGTTCAAAAGTCAAATTTTACACAAATCACTTTTTATTAATTATTTTTACAAATGCTCCCCACAATTAAGAAATTGATATGGGATAAATAAAGATACAATCTAAAACATCTAATTTTTTTTTTACACCTGACACCTTTTACTTGTACTTGTAGATTTATTATGGTCTTTAGCACACAGAGGGTTTATTATGAACCTTAGACTTATTGCTCCACTGAATAACTACCACCCGGCTTAATAATTATACTTATATAACATGATAATTTGTAAACAGGAGGTGGATCAGACTATAAGAGAAGTGCCAGTGGCGCCAGCGTCCGAGGGAGACTGCACACAATGTTGAAAGGTACAAGGAGAATAAAGAAAGAGCCTGATGCCCAGCAAGGTAGGTTATAAAGAAATAATATTTTTAATATGCGCCTTTTTTTTTTTTTTTTTTTTTGAAAGAGAGGCATTTGTTAAAACCTGGGGGCCATGATTTTTTTAAAAGTGTACGACTCGAGGAGAGTTATACATTTAGCCTCGGGGGATGATTTTTAAAAGAAATAATATTTTTAATATGCGCCTTTTTTTTTTTTTTTTTTTTTGAAAGAGAGGCATTTGTTAAAACCTGGAGGCCATGAATTTTTTAAAAGTGTACGACTCGAGCAGAGTTATACACTTAGCCTCTGCGGATGATTTTTATCTGATGCTGACTTCTGAGTCATAGCTGGTTAACTCCTTGTAATGTAACGAATTGACTCAAGAGGATGATTCATATTTATTCTTTTAATTTGCTAAACTTTTAGTGATTTCAGATTCAACATAGGTAGAAATAGATTACTGGTTACTCATATAATAATGTGAATTAAATGATTCGGATTCTGACATTTTCACTTATTTGTTCCTTAGAAGGCTCAATAATCAGGGTCCTAGATTTTTTTTTTGTCATTTATTATGTATTGTATTTTGATGATATTCAATTATTTTCCTTCAGGAATGCAACCGTATCCAATGGAGAATGCAGGTGTGGAAGGTGCTATGGGAGGGGCTGATGCCACCATGAGTCATGTCACTGCCGACAACTCTTCTATGGGAAGTGTTACTGTCTCATCCTTCTCTGCTGGTAGTTTGGACTCTAGTGTGATTGCTGAGCTCTCTGGTCTCTCCAGCAGTGATCTGTCCATTGTGTCCACAGAGAATGGCCAGCTTGTCATCTCCGTGTCTGGGGGCGAGGGCAACAGTGGACCACTGAGTGTAGACAGCATTAACCTACCTTCAAACATGTTAAGCGGAGAGTTGATGAATCAGATTGATATTCAGCAGCTAAATGCTTATCTCCAGGTATATTTTAAGAGCTGAATAAAATTGTACCCTTGGAAGCTTTATTCTTTTATAAAAATATATGAACACACACGGCGGTTGCGGTATATATATTATTTAAATGAAATTCTTTTCAGATTTCAATTTATAGTGAACTATATAGTGAATAATTTAAGAAAAAAATCAGTAACTTAACCCATTCATCCCTGGATGAACAAATCCAACAACTACTGATATAACCCCCTAACACCTAGATCCGGCCACTCGACTGGCTGTTTACCATTTGACAGAAATGACGCCTTTTAAATGAAATTCTTACGGGAAATGAGACCTGTAGAGATTCCTTACGTTTTTTTTATCAATTTGGAGAAGTACCGGTATTCATTATTTTAATAGCAGATTTTAACTTTTTAGTTGTTATGATCAGTACTGAAGGAACAAGTCACAGTTTGACTTTTAATAATTTATACAAGCATTATTAATGCTGTCAATAAGATTAATTGTGTATTCCCAAGTTGTTAATGCTGTCAGCAGGATTAATTGTGTATTCCCAAGTTGTTAATACTGTCAGTAGGATTAATTGTGTATTCCCAAGTTGTTAATGCTATCAGTAGGGTTAAATGTGTACCGGTATTCCCAAGTTGTAAATACTATTTTTAGGGTCTGTAATTTCTTTGCTGTTGAAACATAAAAAAAAGTATGTTTTTGAAAAGTGTTGCTGATGTGCAACCAAGTTATTATTTTAAACAGTTTATATTTTCTTTGAGAGAAAGAGATGTCCAACATTATCAATAACCATGCTACATAATGAATTTCTCCAAATGTTTGAACTTATTAACTTAGAATAATTAATGTCAACATTTGTTAAAAATGTCCCCAGGATCAAGTGGAATTTATTTGAAATCCTGTTATCATCCCACAGGATCAAGGTTCAGGGAGTGAAATCTTGTTGGGTCAGCCCACCTCAGCAGACCATGGCCAGCTTTTGTTGAACAATGACCCCAACCAGCCCATTCACATTATGGACACAGACCCAGAGACTGAGGCAGCACTCAGAGGATTGAACTCTCAAATGTGATTGGCTGCTGAGGAATAGATTCTGATTGGATGTGAATGGTATCTTTTTTTTTTTTTTTTTTTTTTTTTTTTTTTTTCTTAAGAACTGATTCTGAAAGGGTGTGGCTGAAAATTTTTTTTTTGTATGAGGAATAGATTCTGATTGGATGTGAATGGTATCTTTTTTTTTTTTTTTTTTACTTTTGTTTGCTTAAGAACTGATTCTGAAAGGATGTGGCTGAAAATTATTTTTTTGTGTGAGCTGGTTTTGTTACAAGTACAGACTGACTGGTTACTAATTATTTTGCTTGATGAACCGGATGAAATGTGTGATTTAGTAAATGTGATCTTTTTTTTTTGTCTGGAAAAATGCAGCCCGCTTTGTTACAATTGTTGACCCTTGTGTTTTTATTAAGGGTTTTGGCGGTGTTTTATCAAAAGAAGTTCACCATCCTATGCTGTAGGAATTTTCTGATCATATAAGACTGGAGGGTGTAGTCATAGTAACATTTTCTGTTTTTTAGGGAGAGTTTGTTTTTAAAGGGGGAAAATTTCAGAGAAAAGTCTATTTCAAGGCATCTATTGTTGGAGATAGTCACATTCAAATTTTTAATGGAACGAAGCATGGATATTTTCTCTATGCTAAATTTACTTCGTCATTTGAACAATTACTTCAGTTGGTCTTTTCTCACATTTATTTGAATCAAGATTTTGGGCAAGCAGAAGTAGCAGAAGTACAGGGTATTTTTATTTTCAGGGTGTTAGTTTGTTAATAAATTAGAATCAAAGCATAATTTAACCCATTCGGGGGTAAATCAAATCATCAATAATAAAGGCTGAACTTTACCCTTCATTTGCATATCAGGTTAGGGAGAAAATTCAATGACCGGTGACCTCTCCTACTGCCCTTTTTTTTCTCTCTTGAACATAACTCAATCCCTCAGTCTGTTGAGCCACTTTGGCCGGCTTTTTGATTGCATTTGATGAATTATATGTACATAATTTGTATATAATATATATATCTTTACCTGTTTAAAACACACTTTGTCACATACAGCTGTGCTTATGATTCTTGTAAAGTTTTTGTAACCAATTTTGTATGTTAATCATGCCTTGGTAATGCTACCAAATACCTTTTATTTTCTACTTTTGCCTGCAGTCTTACAATGGCAGACTTTAAATGCTCGAGCTAAGATACTTGATTTTTAAAATTATCATCAAAATGGGGGAATTAGCGAGTGAAAATTAGATATTTTCCTTTGCAGTAAGAATTTCTTTTACACCCAAATTCTTATTGTGTCAACAGTTGGACAAACTACTAGGAACTACTATTTAACACCAGGAAGATTTGCCAGGCCGTCTTGTATGAAATATCAATTTTTATCTTCAATACACACACACAAATCATACCCACAGCTCTGAAGCCATGTTATTTAATGGTATATAATCTTATGAATTTAATGAACCAACTTATTGGCTTTACTTACGAAGTGAAAAAGAGTTTTTCCTTTTAAAAAACTGTTAATTAGAGACAGCAATAAATACAGAAAAACTCTCACAATCCATTTTCCTCCACCCCAAGAATTAGTACTGATCTTAGATGTCTGAATTCTTGTACACTGTTTATGTAAAAGTATGACATTGTTGAGTTGTATATACTTCACCCATCCCATGTGGAGGACGTTGTTAAGTTGTATATACTTGACCCACCACATGTGGAGGACGTATGGAAAAGCCTGGAAACAAATCAGACATGTTGTGGTTTGTCCAATAAATAAAAACCCGAGAATTTGTGCCAGAAAAGCCTTAAATGTTGGCTCTCTTGACTGCATCATTCCATTTGTCATTTGCTTGTTCTCAGATGCCATTCCCTATCTGCTAAGTCTCATTGTCTTTTAGAATGAAGAATCTTCAAGACAATCTAATATTTTTTTAATATCTGTTTTGACAGTGAATTGTGCTGCTTAAAATGATGCACTTGTTAATAAACCATGAAATGGTAAAAACTTTTGGGTCAAAAATATTACATAGAATGTGTTCTAGCTCATCTTCATTAGAATGTGTTCAGGTCTCTTCTCCATTATGCTACTTACTAAAGTTTCAAATTCTGTAACATTTTTGTAGTTGATTCAAAAACATATTTTCAATTGTCTGTTAATGGAAGTAAACAGTTTTGATTTAAATCTTGTTTTGTTAATTGAAGGGATTCCCATTACTTTTTTTAAATTTAAGCGTGCAATCACAGCCAGTAAAGAGGTTGGTTGTAAGGACATCAGTCGGTAGAGCACACATTTAGATGTGTCATTTGTAATTCTTGAGTTAGATCATATTAGTATGTGTACAGCTAAGATTAAATGAAACAAAACATTTTGTAACATGTTTTCTTTTCAATCTTTTTCTTACAGTGTACAGAATAAAAGGGTATCTTTAGTATTTTTTAAACAAGAAATTTTTAAAAAAACATATGCACAAATTGGTAATGATTGTAATCAATTTTTGATGCGTTGGACACCTATATGTTCTTTTTATGACAGATTGGAAAGAAAATGCCCCGCCTGAGACCTAAATAAGTTTTATTGTTAAATGAAAAGATAAATACCACAACTATGATACAATGCCACTAGGTATTGTGATTTCACCTTATAAGATATCTCAATGAAATAATCTGTTAAAAATAAACACCAAACATGAACACCTTTTGAGCATAATGAAGAACACTTCTTTAATACTAATAATATTGCCAGTATCATGTTTGTCCTACTATTACATGACCTCCTACTGAGAAGGATTGACCAGGCTTAGACCAATCCTCCAACCGAGACATTGTGACCTATCAAAATAAACAATATGTTTATACATTATCATTACGATTTTATTTGTTGCAAAGCCTGTTCAAAGTCTCTACAAATGCATATAAATCTTATTTGCATAATTTTTTGTTTTCACCACTGCTAACTTTTCCTCTGATTATACACAAAATGAAAAAATTTGCCACAGTCATGATTCCAATCCAATGACAATCTTTATTATTCACCACTTTCTGAAATTTGGCCTAGCTAGAAAAATTGGTAGAAATCTAAAAAAAATAAATATTACGGTTCAATGAAAAATAAGACCATAACTTAATGACCATTACTAAGTTTGACTTACAGTTGGGGCTTTGTCTTTTCCAGCCATGTAACCCAGACACATACTTTCCGTTGAGTGAATCCATGAGAGCTCGACTGTGGACATCAATGAAGATAAATGAACATAGCACTCTAAATATGTTATTGAATAAACCATGTTACAATTACATGGGAAATTTGCAGTTAAAAGCTGTAAAATTGTTTACCCATCATTATTCAGTACCCAAAATTATCTTAATACAATAGAAACATTAAAAGTAACAATAAATGTAAATTTGGTCATAGCAAAACAGAAAGCATAAGAAATACCCGGTATTATTTGCTGTGGTCATAGCACAACAGAAAGCATAAGAAATATTATTTGCTGTGGTCATAGCACAACAGAAAGCATAAATAATATTATTTGCTCTAATGTAAACACATGTGAGTGACTGTACATTAACAAGTGTCAAACATCTTACTTTCTCTAGTGGAATCACTTAGCAATGTTCTCAGGATCAGCACAGCACCAAATTTCTCTTGATATAGCTTCAGGAACTCAGACTCTTTATCAGAAAGGTTAATTTACAAATTAGCACAGAGAAAAACAAATAGTCAAGTAAACCTATCTTGCAACAAATAGTCAAACATATCTTGCAACTAATTGTCAAGTAATAATATCTTTCAATAGTCAAGTAATAATATCTTGCAAACAAATAGTAAAGACCTGTCCCCCACCAAATTGATCACTGACATGATTGATGAAATTGTGTTGGTTGCGAATGGGAGAAGCTCCCCAAAGGAGAAAATGATAATTCAATGTGTTTGCTCTACCACTAATATTTTAATTTAGCACCAGATAAGTCTCGATGCTGTGTAAGGCAGTTTGAAGGAAATAAAATTGCTTGAATTGAAGCCCTTTAAGTTCATTGCACTCATTTTACATTACTTTTTCTGCATACCAAGAAAATGGTCTTTGAATGCAGCAACTAGGGACTGACCAATGTTGTCAGATGATCGAATAGAATCGCTGCTATTTTTGGCCAAAAGTGTCATCATCAGATGCTCCCCACATCCTGAAAACAAATTTACATAAACCATTTTAATGATGACATAATTAAAGATTCAGTAGGAAAAATTTCAATATAATACATTTTTTTAACCCTATAACTGTCAAAACGGCCCCTTTCTGTTGTGTCACGGCAAGCCGCTAGCAAAATGGTCATTTAAAATGCGAATGATTTTATGTACATTGGTTAAGGGGAAATTACTCCATTTAAATGTGTTTGATTCGCATTTACATTGCGGTGTTAACGTGATTTTATCAGGGCTTTTTTTGTCATAAATCAGGTGTTAAAGTAGTTATTTTTTTTTAAATCACCATAATGTCTGACAATGGAGAGGGTCCCCCCTCTAGATTTTAAAATCAAAACAGATTTTCCCTATGAAATTGGAATTATTTCAAATGGATTAAAATGGACACAATGATTTTCATAGATATAACATGTGCTGGTTATGACAGTATTAGCTCTAGTGGTGATGGTGACATTAAAATCAGATATTGACAACTTTAGCATTAAGCTTAGTCATAGTGTTACAGACAAATTCGTTTGGGAAAGACTGGAAATCAAAAAGACAGAAATCGGATCCCAAAGACCTACCCTCAAATGATTCAAAGACATTTATTCAAAGTACATTCAGTATGTACTTGAGTATAAGTTTGTTTTTTTGTTGTTTTTTTTAAATGAATTTAATAACTTCAATTGTCATTTGAAAAGGAATGTTTGAACTCATTTCGTGCTTTCCCTTGTATTTTGTATGACAGAAATTTGAAGGTAGTTAATTTAAACAATTCACCAATATCACAATTTTCAATACAAGTACTTATAACTTCGAATTTTCTGAAAGAATATTTGCTTCTAGCATCTGAAAAACTTGATGAACAATAAATGGAGTATTAAGTTGGGTTGAATTCAGAAGTTGAGAAGTAAAATTTTACTTACTCTGTAAAGGTCAAGGTCAAAAATCAACATACATAATATAAATAAATTCTTTTCATTCCATAAGATACCTTGTCCAATGTACTTTCAGAAAATGTCTACTTGTAGGGTCTCTGAATACATCTAGTCTGGGATTTTGTCAAATTTGACAAGCATATGAAAATGCTAAAAAATGGCTTGACACTAGAGAAAAATCCAATTGACAGTTGTAGGGTTAGAATTAAATTTTTATTTAAATCTAATTCTCTATTATATAATAAGTATATAGCCAGTGGCACTTGCCTGAGGTAACTGCTGCAACACCTGGTTTTGTTTCAGAAATCTGATTTTGGGCCCAACATCCTGCTCCATAAATTGCACACTAAAATAAATATTAAAAACAATACAGTAATATTTATGTAATTTATTAATTTTTTTAATAAAAATATATTTAATTTTTAAATTCTTTAACTCTGAAGTTAACTCTTTCTCTCCGGAATTAATTTTCGCGTTCTAACGAATTATCTATTTTGCATATTTGTTATGAACTACCTACTATGCCATCTCTAACGCATCATAACTTTTTTTGTTTTTCATCAGAAAATGTTAAGTTTGGTATGGAATTAAAGGGGAATGTATGCTCTTTGCAAACAATACAGACTTTGGTTTAAATTTTAATATATAAATGTTATTATTTTATTATTATCATTTAAGGAAAATAAATATTTTAAATAAAAAACTCACAAACTGTTCACAAAACGCTCATTCCAAGTCACAAAAAGAGAAATTTATAATCCAAAGTGTAACAAAAATGTTTTTTTTACTGAACTATATCCATTTGTGCGTCACAAATAATAAAGACAAACACCAGAAGACATCCATTGTCACCGCTACACAAAATATTTCCGAAAAAAACTATTTCCACTGGAAACAATCTGTTGCTATTAGATAATATTGGCACTGTATCCTTGTATGTACTAACATTTATTATGGTAAATGGAAAATTTACCATAAATTTGTCATATCTTTTCATCTGGGTTTAGGTTGAAAACGGATATGCAGACTTGACTCACATCCAGCACAAACGTATACCAGTACAGTCCGTCCTGTTGTATGTTTGCACACTGTCCTTTTTGGAGCTAATAGGCACATGTTTTGTTCAGATAAGTCTTGTTGGAGTGTTGATTTTAATTCCGTAGGAAGCATACTCATTTATTGAGAGTTCAAGCTTATGAATATTATGTGTTTCTAGCAAAGTAAAAAAAAACAACATTCAAGGTCATTTGACTTTGACTTCCTAGTCACAATTCAAGCTGCAAATTTACACCTACATTTTTCAAAGGTAAAAATCTGAAATTGCACTCAGTTTTAGTGCTAAGATCATCAGCTTTCCTTTTAGAATCTACATTATTTGTAGTAGGAACAGTATTAGCTCTTCTAGAAGGCACTTTAGCTGGGGGCAGGACTGTTTGTTCATCAGCTGATGAATTATCAATTTCATTATTTCGTCACAAGTACTACTAATACTAGTAGAAATATTATAATTATAAGATTCATCAGAATCAGTTCTACATTCGAAATCATAAAATCACTGTCTGAATCATCATCAGAGTAATATTTCAACCTTTATTAGATCGATCACCAGATGGGTCAGGTCAAGATTTCATGTTTGTAATCATCATCATCATCAATGGCTTTGAAGCCCATGTAGGGCCCTCGCCTGCTCCACCACATCCTTCCATTCGGTTCGGAGCGATCCATGGCTTTCCGTCTCCATGCTCGAACCCCCAACTGGTGTAAATCTGTCTCCACATCATCAATCCACCTCATCCTTGGGCAACCGATGAGTCGTCTGCCCCTAGGCTTCTGCCTGTATATAATTTTAGCTGCTCTGCATTCCGGCATCCTTTCAACATGGCCAGCCCAGCGTATTCTGCCTTTTTTTTATCATTGTGACTATGGGTGGTTCTTTGTACAAATAGTAAAGTTCTTGGTTTGTACGTATTCTCCAGATATCATTTTCTATCACTGGTCCGTATATTTTGCGGAGGATTTTCCTCTCCCATGTGTTAGCAGGTTCTCTGCTTTTCTGGTGAGGGTCCAGGTCTCACTAGCATACGTTACTACAGGTCTTATGATGGTGGTGTATATTGTCTTCTTTGTTCCCCATGATAAGTTTTTGTTTCCCAGTAGCTTTTGTAGACTGAAATAGGAACAGTTGCCTGCTGTTTTCCTTTCTTTCACCTCTGACATTATCTCATTGTGCTCATTTATAGTTGCCCCTAGATATTTGAATGTGTCCACTCTCTCAAATTTGTGGTTGTTTATATTGATGTTATCATCAGCATGTAAACAAAAATAAAATGGACAATCAAAACAACAACTTCAAACACTTCGTTCTATGTAAAAACTCAATCAAATGAAGAAATACCAGATGTTTTTCTAAGGGAAATCATTCTAGATTTGATTTAAAATAACTAAAAACCAATAGCTAAGAAAAGAACCGAAATAAACAGGTTTTTATACATCGACGATGCCATCGTAGATCCGCCCGGAACCTCATTTAAAATCAACGATGGGAGTGTTGATCCGGAGAGAAAGAGTTAAGGCAATCTTGTGAAAACATATAGTTTTCTAGTTGTAAATAATTTCTTTTTCAACTTGGTAACTTGGTTTGTGCATTCCCATTAATCGCAAAACCATGTTTTATTTGTTCAAGACTATTTTTCCAAATTTAGGTTACTGTAATTTACCAAGACAAAACTGCTTCTTGCGGCAACCCAACTAACAGCAGGACAACAAATTTCCCATTGTGAACACTAACTTACAGGTCCAAGTCTTCCTGAATGCTTGAGCCAGATTCCCCCACTGGAAGACGCGGCAGCAACATTGCCATCATGATCCACACATATGGCCCCAACGGTGTCTTGAACAGAGTCATCCCTTGGACCAGATCTACACTTAAAGCATATTTAAGAGGGTGTTTTACATTTTATTTTTTAATCAGTAGAACTTTCAGCAAAGATGCATAATTCACACCAGAAAACTGTTAGTTATTAATACTCCAATTTTTTTCAGTATTCTTTTTCATATTTTAGATCAACAAAAATTATTTGTATAGTCTTCACATGGTGGTTAATTTTATAGTCTTCACATAGTGGTTAATTTTATAATCTTCACATAGTGGTTAATTTTATAGTCTTCACATAGTGGTTAATTTTATAGTCTTCACATAGTGGTTAAATTTAAAACCAAAATACTTTTTTTTTCCTTCATATTTTTGGATTTATACTATAATACACAAACAATTTAGCTCGTAAATGAAAGTTAGTCCTTCAAGTGTTGATAATTATTGCTAAATATCCGAATTTTCTTTACCGGTATTCAAAAGTAAAAACTTAAGCTCTTTTTTTATTTTTTATTCCAAGTTTGTCTTTGAATACTTCAATATCTTACCACAAACCTCTTTTAATTCTTTACTTTCTAGTGAAAAACTTTCTTCTGATAAATCATTTTTTCTTTTCCTGGAAGCAATCAAAGATTTTCCAGAATTCCTACATTTCTTAGAATAATGCAGAAATTTGTTCCAAGCGTCTCCTGTGAAATAATTGGAAAGTGCAACAATAGGTCAACTTAATTTCAATTTGTTTCAGAACAAAGCATTTCCTTTTCTATAATGCTTTTAAAATACTCTATTATCCATCAATAATATTAAAAAAAAACATGATATTTGTAGTATGACAGTAATATTTGGCCACGTTAAACCAATTCATATGACAATTTCACCCGCAGCTGGGGACAAGATCCTTGGCTGAGACTCAGGCAACATTACCATTGTGCCTTGATGGCCTTCAATTAGATGATGAAGGAAAGTTAAACATTTTGTTAACCACTACTTTTCAAAGAGTGTGATTCAAATATTACACAATATTATGTGTTATATGCTTTATATAATTTGGATTAAGCTTTCATTCCTTTTTTCAATTGATAAGGAAACCTAGACTATAGGATTATAAGTTTGGTAGATATTTATCATATTACATCAGCAGAATTTTTTCATGCACAAGAATTTAAGTCAGTCTTAATACACACACAAAAATCAATTCCTGGTAGTCAAAGAATTAAAAATCAAGTGGTCATCTGAGAAAAAAAACATTGCAGCTTTATTTTAAAGTTGTACATCATAAAAACCCACCTGTCACTAGGTTGTTGTGAATTTCTATACCATGTTCTGCACAGTAGTCTTGGGCACCTCTCCCTACAAGGATGCTTGGAGAAATGAAACATAATGTAGCAGACATAACTAAATACATAAAAATAAATACCAACAACCCTTCAAATTAGTTATTATTTAATGTTAGAGTCATAATAATGTAAATCTTCATTAAGTTTGCAATGGTCAATCAAAGTGTAATATGTTTTTTACAAGCTGCATCACATTAAATTTCCTACCTTGGTCTGATATTTCCAAAAGAAAGTATTACACTAAATGTCCTACCTTGGTCTGATATTTCCAAAAGAAAGTATTACACTAAATGTCCTACCTTGGTCTGATATGTCTGAAAGAAAGTATCACACTAAATGTCCTACCTTGGTCTGATATGTCCAAAAGAAATGTCCTACCTTGGTCTGATATGTCCAAAAGAAAATATCACACTAAATGTCCTACCTTGGTCTGATATGTCTGAAAGAAAGTATCACACTAAATGTCCTACCTTGGTCTGATATGTCCAAAAGAAATGTCCTACCTTGGTCTGATATGTCCAAAAGAAAATATCACACAAAATGTCCTACCTTGGTCTGATATGTCCAAAAGAAATGTCCTACCTTGGTCTGATATGTCCAAAAGAAAGTATCACACTAAATGTCCTACCTTGGTCTGATACGTCCATAAGGAAGTGGTCCTAGCTTCTGTTCATCCACAAGCCTGCAAGCTATGGTCACAGGGTTAGCTACACCTATTTTAAAGAATGATTAAACAAAAATATATATATTTTAACTCTTTTGCTGTGGCACAATGCACAGTATGTTCATCCGCTGTTCTAAAAATCACAGACCAACGCGCTGTGCATTGTTTCAATATCATGTTTGTTTCTTTGCTATGTCTCAGTTAAAATTTTTAAGAGCTATTTTTCAATAAGACTTTTACATAGAAGAGTGGTACATCATTGTTTATAAGTGAAACCAATGTTTATTTGTTTTCATTTGAATCATTATGTTAATAATTTTCTTTGCTGTTTTTTTTCTATATCAATACTGTTGCTATGGCTACCCTAGGCCCTAGTAGGTGAGTAAGTTTCCAAACGATTAACAGCTCAAAATGCTTTGGAATTGTTTTATACTCTTAGTAATACTATTTCTTTTCATAGTGAAGATGATTTATATTTAGATCTATTGATCCATCGCATGATTCCGATAGCGATAGTTTTAGAGGATTTGAGTTATAGAAGTGAAGATGAGGTATGCATACATCATAGGGTTTGGGGAAAAAATGGTTTTGCATATGTTTCCACATTCTATTGTTCTTTACTTCTGTTACTTATTTTATTTAAACTGAAGAACTAAGTTTACAAACATAGAGTCCATGCAATTATCTTTCACTTGATACCAAGTTTAGTCTTATAAACCAAACAATAATATTTTAAATATTTTTTTTAATAAACCCAACCTCTCACTTTTTTTGCTCTTTTTAAAAAAATGTATATTTTTCCAATAAAAAATTCTGCAGTGAAAGAGTTAAATACTTTAAGAGGGTATTCATATTTTAACTCTTAGTAATTATTATAAAACTTTTGAAAAATACATATTTTATTAGGTGAATGAAATCATTTAATTTCTAAAGTACCATTCTGAAATGTGTTGTACAGGGTATGTCACTTTGCAGGTGTGAATCTTCAACATTTCTGCTGACAGGTTAAATGTCACAGAAGAAGTGCAAGTGTTGGTACTCATGCAACTATAAGATGCACCTTTTACTGGGTACATTAGATTTTGTAATCACAATATCCCTTCTGTTTTGGCAAATGAAAATCTGGTCTATAACCTAAAAAAACAAAACTGATTTATACTGCCTTTTAGTTTTCTAGGTGCCCTGAATGAGCATGATATTTCATGATGCATGTGTGAGTAGCTTTGCAGTGTGTTAGGCAGTAAGTGGTACGGTATAAAAACATATCTAATAATCAGACGTATTGTAAAGTTGGTTATTTTTTAAAAATATAAATATAACATAACTTTCAAAATAAAACCCATTACCACATAATGCCCCAACTGCTCCAAACAGCAAAGAGCTCCCGTCCATAACACAAGCATCACATTCCACTGTTCCTTGCACTGTCAAACTTGATCCTTTTCCACAATTAGTGATTTCATCATTCTGAAAAAATTGAGTTTGTCTAAGGATAAGACAAATATCAAGGTACCTGGCCCTAAAAAAAACCTCTGAAAACTGAAGAGTTGAGAGGCTTACATGTTCTTAAGTGAGACTATAGGTACTGCACAGGCAATTTGTACTTTTGAATAAAGTTCACGTTTTTTTGGTAAACAAAAGTCATTGTCGAAAGACTCTGAAATAGAACTGGAAATGATACTTCCAGAAAAATATCTTTATCACTTAATACAACATAACCAATTAAATGTCCTTTACCTCTAAAACAGACACTGCAGCTGTTACTCCTTCCAGTGCAGATCCTTTGGCTTGCAACAATGACATAGCCTGAACAATTCCAACACAATGACAAAAATAATTCTAATTTATATTTGATATATTTGTATATTTCACTTATATTTGGAAAAAACTTGTCTATTTTAAAAGTTTCCTTGATTAGATTAAATTAACAACCAAACTATTCATATTTATTGTGCACAGCTTTGAATTTTTTTTTAAAATATTATTTTAACTAATGATGAAACATTTGGGCTGTGCTTTTTTTATTTTTTATTTATGACGGTGTTTTTTTAAATCTTTACCTGCTGACAAGCTTTTTTACAAATAGATTTATAGATATGATCATTTGCTTTTGCATGACTTCCAGCACCTAAGAGAAAAAAATTAAACAAACCCTAAAAACAAAGTTTTTCGTATAAATCCTTTATAAAATGTAATATTAGAGCATTGGGGAGGAGGGGGCCGCATGCCGTGAGATTTGACAAAACATGCACTCAAGTAACCCACTTTATAAGAATCCCAATTAGTGCCCCCAGCTCACAACCGCACATATCACGCCCCCGAACTATATTAATATTCTAATGACCCACCCGCTTTTACACTTTATAAATAAAATATTTATTTTACAAACTATTTCAGAAAAACAAAAGAAACTTTTACGCACCAAACACACTTGCTATATTTTTTTTAAAGAATCTCATTTAGAGCAGTTATCGGGAATTTTATTTCATGAAATCAAAGTCGTCATATTTCCTTCATATTCCCCTTGAAAAACGTGGAAAACTCATTTTTGGGGGTTAGGGGGTGGGGCTAAAAATTTGAAAGAATATATTGTCATCGTCAACTAGTCTATGTGCCAAGTTTAAGCTCAATAGGTTGACGGGAAGTGGGTCTATTAGGCGTTCGAAGATTTTGCCAGCCAGCCACGAACAAAAGCAAAGTTAATATAAATGATTTAAACATGGCAGGGTTATGGTTAATGCATATTTAGTTATTTATACATCATCCCATAAAAAGAAAAAATGATTGTCTATTACTATGCAAATATCAACTTGCTTTGAAACAAAGATCTGAAGAGCAATTCTGGAATCCATGGAGTTATGCTGTGAAATGAACATCTCAGTAGGTAGGTAAAGACTCTGGCTAGTTGGAATGACATTAATGGTTTCCTCTATTCCACAGCATTTCCCCAGTTCCAATCGGATTGGGATTTTACCCCCCAAACTGTTAAAATCAATTTGCCTGTAGGTTCCTGCTTTTCTTCTGGCAATGCTTATTATTAACAATGATGCCACATCCTAAGTAGGACTCTTCATTGCACTACCACATCATTCCATGCACACTAGCTTATGGCTTTTCTAATTCATGCACTGAATGATGAAAATGAGAGATGTTCCTACACAACATCAATCCATGTTGGTTGGTCCGTCCGCCCCCCCCCCCCCCCCAGAAGTCTGCCCTTTGGTTTCTGGCATTGTACCACATTCACTCCTCTTGAAACCCTCTTGATGTATCCTGTCCACTGGAGTCCGCCATTATAAATTGCTGCTTATAATGTCGTTACTGTTAAAAAAACTTTTACTATTTCTGTATTAGTCTATGATGTTCTGTCGTTACTGTTAAAAGTTAAAACTTTACCAATACCCAGGTATTAGACTATGCTAAGACACTGAAATTAAAATAAATTATTTTTTTAATACTTATTAAAAGTAAAAGGGAAAATTGAATTAGGCTATTATTATTGACTATTATTGTAAGAAGTGGCTATTCGGACCCGGCTACCAGAAGTGTGAGGTAGGAATTAAAAAATGTTTAAAATATTTTTGTTGGGCTTAATCCGAGGACGGCTGCCATGGCGTCTTTTGTGTGTTTATTATAGTTGCAGTGAATTAGGGTTTAGGTTAGATTGAGGGATTGATTTAGGGTTCAGGTTAGGCATAGGGATCGATTTAGGGTTCAGGTTAGGCATAGGGATCGATTTAGGGTTCAGGCTAGGCATAGGGATCGATTTAGGGTTCAGGTTAGGCATAGTATAGGGATCGATTTAGGGATACATTCGTGAAATTCGATAAAATAGTGGCAGGCGTCCCCATTGTTTACCTTATTGTTAGTTTGTAAGGTAAAATTTGGTATCCAATGAAAGTTGAAAGATATAATTGAATGCAGTGGCGCAGCGAGAGGGGTGCGGGGGGTGCGGACGGCACCGGGTGACACCATTTTAGGGGTGACACCCGATTGAAACATTGCATATTTACAGAGCACACTGTGCTCGGTCTAACCCAGATTCATAAAAGGATGACCGATCACACATACATTTTCATAAATGTAACCAATCCAAATGCGTGCTTTATTAAAAGTTCAAGGTTGATGCGTCAGAAATGAGATGACCCTATGTTTAGGTCAGAAAAACACAGTCATTATTCCACGTTGGAAAGTTCCGTAGTGACAGTTTATCAAATTCTGAGAAAAACGGCTTTCCATTGATATCAAAAACAGTATGGTCGGGGGATTCTAAGCGTAAGAATCTGTAAAAAAAATTTTAAAAAAAACATTAAAAATTAAATTTTACCCATTTATAGGGTTAAAAAAATATATTATTTTACACAATTTTCAATCTTTTAATGATTAGTTCCTATTTATTTATATTTAAATAAAGGAGATTTTTTTTGAAGACGTATATAATATTATTTATCGAAACACTCAAAAATTTACCCGATTCGTCACTAGTATCGCTCCTAAACATTTGAGCACGATTGTCATATTTAACTGCTGGGTTTTATCTGCTACCTTTCTGTGTTGTATTTTGGACAGTGCTCCGACTTGTTTTTGAACTATCTTCAGTAATTATTTTGATTTTCGTCTTGAACATGACAAAATTAAAGCAGTTTTATTGTTCAAGATTATTATATCGTGCCATACGTCATGCACTAATCGAAATGGCCTTGTGGCTGTCAACAGTGAAAAGCAAAAAAAAAAAAGGCGACTTACTAAAACCACTACCAGAAGACATGCTTCGATATGTCAAGAAACCCAATGATGACCAGGGTCAGGGTTCATCAAAAGACTTTCCTCAGCCTACCATTGATACTGATTCTCCCGATAATAGCAGCATGCATTCTTTTGAGCAAATGGTGGAGAAAATGGAAAAGATTGGCGTGAAAACACAAGTAAAAGACATGGATGGTTTGGAAACAGAAACGTTTGCTGATTATGTTGATTCAAACCAAGATACTCTAAGTGCAATGGCTAATAACAAAAACTGGCACATTTTTATCAGAATATGCTTCTGTCTGTAGCAGTTACAAATTATTTTCGTTCTAAAACTATTAAAAGATGGAGTACCTCGTTTCAGAACAAGCACGGACTATTCAGCGTAGTGACAAGGCGAAATGCGAAATCTAAAGGAGGTGTTCGCCAACTAACAAAACAATGAATCCACGGGATGATGCAAAATGGCGAGAAAATACTGCAGTTGTTGATGGTTTATTCACTCGTCAGTCAGAAATTGTAGTGTTTTTGCTGTAGATTATTTGCTGTTATTGTTACAAAAACAACATCCAAATTTGTTAGAGGCTTTGATAAGTGGTGAAAACTGAGCCCAAAATTACAAAATCATGAGGCATCGGAAGAGCACCTATGTTGCCTTGAAAAGTGGAAAGCATTGGCAGCAGGACTTAGGATACACAAAACAATTGATGCCGAAAGTATTGCTGTGATTGACAGGGAGAAAAAAAAGTGGAGGGATGTCCTGCACAGGTTGCTGGATATCACATTGTTTCTTGCAAAGCAAAATCTGGCATTTCGTCGCCACAACGAAGATGAATCTTCCCTGAAACTTTCTTGAAATGGTTCAGATGCTATCTAAATATGACCCAGTGCTAAAAGAGCATCAAATGAGAAAAAATAGGAGTACATCTACAGAAATAGCACACGCATCTTACCTTTCACCAGAAACCCAAAATGAATTTATAAATGTCCTTGCACATCATGTGAAGTAGATTTTTATCATGGATATAAAGGCTGCGATGTATTTTTGGAATAATGCTCGAAAGTACACCTTATATATCACACAGTGACCAGATGTCTAAAAAGATCATATATGTGAAAATCCACAATGAGAAAGTTGAAGTGAGAGAAGTGTTTCTTGCATTTTTCCCGTTAAGAGGGAAAAAGGCTGATGGCCTTAGTTCTGGGCTTTACTGTTGACAAAGTGGCGACCAGCTTAGAGGCATTAAGATTGTTTTTGCACGAGAAGAGCAGTCACTTGGTGGAATATGCTACTGAAAAGGAACTGTTAAAATCAGACCAGTATGGATTTTCAATAGAGAGAAGAGTAAGGTTTAAGAAGAGAATGGCAGGAGAACAATTAATAGATGCTGGACTCTTTCTGCGAGAAGAAAACAGTAACGAGATCGCTTTCATTCTGAACTCCAGATCAAATTATCAGCGATCAAGGAAGTAGCAGGTATGTTTGGGGCTGTTCAACCCAAGAGTGTAGTATCAGCAACTAAAAAAGAGATTTGGTGTCCGTTCGAAAATTAACTTTTTTCTACGCTGAGTTATCAGAAGATGAACTTTTAAAAGAAATATCAGAGCTTAGAAGACCTCTAAAAGCAGCTGAAGTCTCAAAGTGTTTGATGTTTTGAAATTTATAGCCGAATGGGACTTCCTAGAGTTTTTTCCAATATTCTCGCTAAGCCTTTAATTTTTTTATTACAATATGTGTGTATGTGGCTTGATGTGAGCGGAGCTTTTCAAAACTAAGGCTTTTCAAGAAATATTTATGATCCACCATGGGACAGTCTAGGCTTTCTAATTTGGCTCTGCTATCAATTAAAAATTATACAGTGAAGGATGTTGATTTTGATAAAGTGATTGACAGGTTTGCTGCTATGAAGCAAAGATAAGGAAAATTTTAAAACAGTAAATTTAATGTAAACATAACTACACTTTAAAGTTTTTAAATACATTGACCTCATGACCTATGTGTTTTTGTTCTTGTCATTGTTATTCTGTGGACTTGTTTTAACAAGAAGAAATCCATCATAGAAGTTATTATTGTTGTTGTTTGTTTGTTTGGTTATTTTGTTTGTTTTTGTTTTTTTTTTGGGGGGGGGGGTGACACCATGAGCTTACCGCACCGGGTGACACCAACCCTAGCTACGCCACTGATTGAGTGGCCTATATGAATGTTTGTAAATGTAATTCTTCAGTTTTATTAAAATAAACTACCACAAATCAAATCCGGGTAAATATGTGTTTTTGTTCTTGTCATTGTTATTCTGTGGACTTGTTTTAACAAGAAGAAATCCATCATAGAAGTTATTATTGTTGTTGTTTGTTTGTTTGGTTATCTTGTTTGTTTTTGTTTTTTTTTTGGGGGGGGGGGTGACACCATGAGCTTACCGCACCGGGTGACACCAACCCTAGCTACGCCACTGATTGAATGGCCTATATGAATGTTTGTAAATGTAATTCTTCAGTTTTATTAAAATAAACTACCACAAATCAAATCCGGGTAGACATCCGAATATGAACCCCAACACGCATCGCCGCTATTCGGAACCGGGTCCCTTTAGAGTTTAGACTAAATGCTATTCGGATGTCATTTGTGGTAGTTTATTTTAGTTAAACTGAAGAATTAAGTTTATAAACAAATAGTCCATTCAATTATCTTTCATTTGATACCAAATTTTGTCGTACAAACCTACAATAATATGTTAAATATTTTTTAATAAACTAAATTAAATAGACAGACCTCTCACTTCTGATACCGGGTCCGAATAGCCGCAGCCTTTCGTATTAATAAACCCAACCTCTCACTTCTGACTTCTGATGCTGATACCGGGTCCGAATAGCCGCAGCCATTATTTATTTTATGCCAAATAAATAGAGTTATTTAATATTCACCTGCGTGAACAGCAATGAAAAGACATGGTATTTCTGAGCTCATGACTTTGAATACTATTATTATTCCGTACGGCTAGGCAATAGTTGGTAACAGTTTTATCTTTGGTTACCGGTGGTGCTGAAAAAAAAAAAAGCTCGTCTAAAATAGTGGAGTAGCTCCGTATGCAATGATCAGAATGGAATTTAATATTGTGCTTTAATTTTTTTAATGTTTATTTTTAGATGTTCCTTTACACAACTACTTATTTTAAATCATAAAACTATACTGATTTTATCTTTTTTTTATCTATTAATAATTAAAATATGACACGATCATACTTTTTTCTATTTTTTTTTAAATACTATCAAATCAAGACGAAAATGCATGACTTCTGCACTATTGTCTGCTTATAGATACCGGACATACTCGTTGTAAGTTGAAAGTAATGGATAATATGGCTAAAGTCTAAATACATGAAATTAACTTAGGGATCCTAATGAGGTTTAGGTATTATTATCGATGAAACAATTTAACTTGCCTTAAACATGCTATCAAATACTTGTAAATAAGTACATAACACTATTTTGGTTTTCCCATTTGTCACAAATTACATTCATTATGATGATAATTACCGGTAATTCGGTAATTAATCAAAATAAAATTGTACTTAAAAAAAAACAAAAAAACATTCAATTCAATGACAACATTGACATTGACACTACTAAATGTCACTGTCAATACTTTTACGTTTTAATACACTACTTTTTTTTTTTACTAACAATAACTGTTCAATATCAACATAATCATATAGTTGACATTGGTCATATTCATATGTAGGCATAGGCTATAGCTATACCGTACGTAATTATAATTAATAATACTTTTTACTATTTAGAAAATTGGCACTATCTTATTCACTCCACAGTACAGTCACGCTGCCTTGACGTTGCCATTATTGCTCTTTGACATCAAACAAAAAGTTTGTATAGATTTTTCAACATGTGAATCATGTTCATGTGATATTATTTAGAGACTAGTTGTTCAAATACTTGTTTAGATTAGAATGGGTGGGCGAGGTCAATATTTTTACAAAGCTGTTTTTAAATGAATAATTATGTCATGTTTCTTTTTGATAACTTTTATGTGAAGCGCTGTGAGACTAGCCTTAGGCTTAGGTACCACGCTATATTATTTTAAGATCACTTTAATGACTTTAATAATAATTATAAAATGCCATAACATTGCTCTAACACTTGTCTTATCCTTAAAATCTAAGTACTCTAATCTTACATATTCTTTCCCAGGTATTGAAACTTATTTAAGAGGTGATACACAGGAATGCAATCCTTGGATGTAAATCTGCTGACAACTTGACCTTGACATTCTTTGATATGGCTAGGCACAGTAAAGTTCAAATACAAGTTCTCAGCCTTTATAAACAGTTCCTCAAAGTCACGAAGGACAAACCAAGTTTCCAAGATTATATTAAAAAAGAGTTTCGTAAAAATGCTGAATTGCCCAAGACTGATGTCATCAAAATTGAATATTTATTGAGGAGAGGCTGGAGACAATTAGATATGCTCAAGACAAGCAGAGTATCAAATGCTGGTGTCTTTGAAAAAGAAGAACCCAATCTAAAGCAACAAGACAGTAAATAGTGATTGAAATTACTCTTTATTATTATTAAGCATTATAAACATTTATGAAATGGGTTTGCTAAATTTTTATAGAAAGGTGCTTTGGTCGAGTCCTATTGGGTCATACTCTGCTATCACGTATGTGCTAAAGCAGGTATCTCACAGCCCTCATTCTGAAACCTTGACCAGATGCATAAGCTCATGCCGTGTCTTGAGTTCACCTAAGCTCCATGATATTTCTTGTAATAACAAGTCTGCTCAATTAAGACATGTGCATGTATCGAAACTTTTGACTTTGAACATTCAACCACAAACTGAGCACAAGACTGTTAATGAGCGGCCTGCACTAAGAAAACCCAATGAAAGTCATTCTTTGAAAGAGCTGAGCCCATTTGCAGAGAAAATCCCACAAAAACAACTATATAATAATATAGTAGAGGATTTCCCTGAGGGCATACAGATGGCATTTGCTTATGGTTCTGGTGTTTTCCAGCAACATAACAGCTTAGAGAAGACTAGGAACATGCTTGATTTTATATTTGTAGTTGACAAACCAAAGAAATGGCATAGTCAAAACTTGGAGAAGCATTCGCACCATTACTCATTCCTGAAAAAATTTGGACCGCACACTATAGCCAGGATTCAGGAAAGGTTGGTTTATGAATTAGTTTAATAGCCTTCAATTTTAGAGAGTAATGTTATTTATAAAAATCTTTTCTTTTTTTCATTTAGTGATATCCGAATATTCTGACAACTAAATCAAAATATTTTAATATTTTCTTTTAGGGTACCTTCAAATAATAAATCTGGCTTGACAAAATAATTTCTTATAAAATAAGATTTTAAAATATGATCGAAAGGGTAATCTGATACTTAACAGTATTTTTTATTGACAGTTTTCACTTTTGTATGCCTTAATCACCCATTTTTAACTGTAGCCATAACATTTCAATTACAGATATGGTGCTGGCATTTACTTTAATACCTTAGTGCCTATGCAAGGCCGCTTGATCAAGTATGGCGTCATCAGTACAGCAAGGCTCATCACTGATCTACTGGACTGGGAGTCACTCTATATTAGTGGTCGATTGCACAAACCTATCAGCTTAATTATTCTTCCCACAAATGAGGATCTTATAACAGCTATGAAAGTGGGTTGTTTGTTGTGCATTGTTGCAAAGTGGTGGTTGACCAGGGTTTCTTTAAAGCCAACTGTACTGCATCACAAAGTTGTCTATATCCTGGCTCATTTGAACATATTCAAAACACAAAATTGTAAATTTGGTCTTTTTGTCCAACTCTTCATAATCAAGGGATTTATTCATGAGGCCATTGAGTTTTACTCTTACATATTATTTTGTCTGTAGTTGTTTACTTCACTTGTTTCCACTGTAAATTAAACAGATCTAGCAATAGTATATTTATCACAGACACGGTGGATTAAGTGAAATCTTTCAATTACTTGGTGGTATTATCACTTCTACTAATATCATGCTGACTAGCTCTAAATATTTTGCATTGAATTAATCTAAGTTTTAACCCAAAGTTCCCAAATTTTCTCATTTGACACAGGTGAACCTGAGAAGTGCAGTCCATGCAGCACTGCTGCTTCTGCCAGATATGTTCACCGAAGAACAATTATACACAACCATTACAAGTCTTTCATATGCTGGAGATTTTAGAATGGGAATAGCTGAAGATAACAATAAGGTTCATTTGGCTAGCTATTCTCGTTTATGAGATATCACTTGTGGTTGTTGTTTTTTTTATGTACCAGTATGTCAAATAGTTTGCGTTTGTAAAAACTTATAAAATAGGAAAATACTCTAAAAAACACTTTTTTTTTTTATTAAGCCCTCAAAATTTAGCGGGCTTAACTGAAGAAAATTGTCCTAGCCCTTGCTTTACCTGGATTGACTTGCCCTTGAGACTATCTATCCTTGACCTGCTTGCCTGAAGTACTTTAAAGTTGTGTATGTTAATATTATCCTAGTTTAAAATTGTTAAGTGAATCAGATTGTTTGTTTAAACTGTCTATATTTTTATTTAATATGCTGATGATGAATCTCTACAACATCATCAAAACAAATTTCCATTTTTGTATCAATCAAAGAATTGTATCTTAAAATACCCCTTACCGTATTAAGATGTGTATGACCAGTCTAACTTGTAGTCAGTTGATAGTTCTTTTTAAATGTTGTCTATGGTCGGTCATGTGATTTAATTTATTGCTTGTTCATTTAAAGGTATCCAACATTGTGAAGCCAAACCTTCAACTCTTCCGACGAATGTACGGTCCGATCCTTAGGGAAGAAGAGCATGTCACCTGGTGGCAAAACGAGGGTCAGTTTGAGCAGGCCTCAACCTTTCATTCTAGACATCACCATTTAAAATGTTTGCCTGGTCAAGTGCTTTATGGCCTTCTGATGCACAAATTTCAGGTAAAATTTCTTTTGCAGGGATTTCTTCTTATAGAGCCATAATGCACATTTCCCTGTTGAAGTTTTACTGGTGATATCTCAAACCTAAAATCCATTTTTTTTTTAAAAACATGAATTAGAAAGGAGGCAGGACCTTCTGTAAGTTATGGGGATTTTTTATTAGATGATTAATAAGGCATTTCATTAATACTGTTTTTTTGTGTCCTACAATCATTTCATTAAAATATCGTTAATAGTTAATAATAAATATCGACAAGCTTTTCAGAGATTTTTTTCAAATTTTCACATTTATAATTAGACTAATGAGACTCACAAAAATTTTTGTGTAAAATAAACAATATATGTTAAGCTTTAATTATGATTACATAATAGACAAATTCAAATGTTTGGCAAGTGCCTTTATCAGTACAACTAGTACAACAAAAAACATAATTATAATTTTAAATTAAATTTACATAAATATATGTGTATTACCTATACCTAAAAATGAAAGAAAAGAATAAAAATGTGCCCAACTCCCTAACATACCAGTAAACAAAGATCAGAAGAACGGAAAGAAAGTTTGTTGAAGTGCAATATAAAATCCAAACAAGAAAAATATCTTGCAGCTATGTAAAATTGTGAATTTGGTTTATACCATATGGAGTCAATGTTCCAAATCTTTTTTATTAATTTATTTTTTATATAAATTCAATATGGTGTATTACTCGCATACAATACACCAGTAACTGCATCGTCCAATATTTCATTATGGTTTGCACTGTTGAAATGTTTCAGGACTTGTTTAATGATGTTGTACAGGTGCTCTATGAAACGGTCTCCGCGGTGATGACCCTTCTCCACCACCTATTTAAATGTTCTTCCAATTATTTATATACTAATCCTTTAACTTGACAGTCAATGATTATGATTATGAACGCCTGGCTTATAAAATAAACCTTTCACTTGGCAGATAGGAGTTTTTCCTGACTTGGAAGAAATTATCACACGCCATGCTTATGATTCTGACTGCGGGAAGCATGTGGCCAGCAGCATAAGACATATTGTGAAAAAGTCCAGTGTAACTCAGACTCTGAAAGGAATTCTTACAGCTGGATTCTCAAAGTCTATCAAATATGCTCTCAACAAAGTATTTAAAAAACTGAAAAGCAAATAGAGTAATGCTCCCTTGTGTTTTACTTTAGCTGTTTGCATGAAGATTTTTACGTTTTGTACGTTTTTTGTTGCTTAAAAAAGTATTGTTAAATTAAAAGTAAATAATCTCAAGCCAAAATGCATGAATCCAATACAAAAGTGAAAACTATATTTGTTAAGAAATACAATCATAGGGGAAATGGAGCCTCATAAAAATCATTTTATGGATCAGCAAGAGCTATGTCATGGTAACATTAATGCAGTACATGGATGAGATAATTTTGATTGAAAGTTAAAATTTCAATGGGTAAAGTTGTTAATAATTATTGTTTAAACAAATGTACAGATTTTTTTAATGGGGGGGGGGGGGTCGCTGTTCTGTAGTGGTACCACAGGCATTTCAATGTACCAGATAATATACCCCTGAAGCCATTTGCAATCCACCTTGGCTCTCACTACAGGAAGTGAAATAAACAAATTGTTCAAACATATCTAGAAATCTACATGATCCATGTTTTGAGAGGTAAAGGAATAATGTTCGAAAATTATTTTTGAGTATAGTAAATTGTTTTATCTTTAATCAAGGATAAAGCAGTTCAAATTAGTTTTAAAACTTGATTATTTATTTGTTGGGAAAAAATTCAATGATTTTGTTTTTGTTTTTTTTGTTTGTTATCTTTCCCCTGGATTGTGCTTAATTGTTAGAAATTATTCTTTATTTGAAATTGTTGTTGAAAATTATGCAATGTTAAAAAAATATATTTGTTACTGGACAATTTCTTTTTTTAAAAATAAATTTGATATTTTATTCTTATAAACACAGTAACAAATTAAAGGCTTAAGATATCCCATTTATGATTGTCTTGGTTAAAACTTTTCTATTGCTGGAGTAAATTACTGAGAGTTCAGTCAGATTTGGGTTATATAGCCATCATTTATTAATATGTTAAATGACATTGAATATTCCTGCATTAAATCCCCCCAAGCGTTGCACAGATGCCAGTACATGGATGCAGCAACAAACACAACCAGAACCAGAACATTACTTGCATTTCAATACTTAAAGCATGATCAAATGAAAATGGTACCGGTATCAATATTTATGTTTTGTAGCAAAATTATGTGCAACATACATTCATTCAGAACTATTATGTTCCTGACATCATTGCAACAAAATCAAAGAATGCAAAAGTTCTTAACAATTCAGCCCGACAATAAGTTAAATTTATAGTAAATTTGTTTTTCTTATTTTCAATCGTTACTAGTAGGGAAAGTAAAAATAATAAGTAGGATTTTGATACCAACTTATCACGATTCTGTGTTGCCATTGATCTTTTTTTTTAAATTTAAGTTTGGACCAACCTTTTGGGGTTATTTTTTCCTCACTCACTTAGAGAAGATCCACATTATTTACTAACTGTTGTTTTTTTAAAAATAATTTTCTAATACATATGTATTTTATTTATTTTTATTTCTAATCCAGTGTTATCCCCAAACAAGTCATATAATTTTCTGATTAAAAAAATGACTGATCATAAGAATTTTGTTTTGCATAATTTCAAGTGCTCAAAAGTTCTAAATGCTGGCTCAAAAGTTTCTAAATGCATGCTCAAAAGTTTCTAAATGCATGCTCAAAAGTTCTAAATGCATGCTCAAAAGTTTCTAAATGCATGCTCAAAAGTTCTAAATGCATGCTCAAAAGTTCTAAATGCATGCTCAAAAGTTCTAAATGCATGATCAAAAGTTCTAAATGCATGCTCAAAAGTTTCTAAATGCATGCTCAAGTTTCTAAATGCATGCTTAAAAGTTCTAAATGCATGCTCAAAAGTTTCTAAATGCATGCTCAAAAGTTTCTAAATGCATGCTCAAAAGTTTCTAAATGCATGCTCAAAAGTTCTAAATGCATGCTCAAAAGTTCTAAATGCATGCTCAAAAGTTCTAAATGCATGCTCAAAAGTTCTAAATGCATGCTCAAAAGTTTCTAAATGCATGCTCAAAAGTTCTAAATGCATGCTCAAAAGTTCTAAATGCATGCTCAAGTTTCTAAATGCATGCTCAAAAGTTCTAAATGCATGCTCAAAAGTTTCTAAATGCATGCTCCAAAGTTCTAAATGCATGCTCAAAAGTTTCTAAATGCATGCTCAAAAGTTCTAAATGCATGCTCAGAAGTTCTAAATGCATACTTTAAATACCTGATGGAAAGGCAAGTCATTTCATCTGTTATTACTGGGTTGTTGTTGGTTTTTGGGAAGGGTGTTGAGGGGTGGGAGTTTTCCCACAGTATATTTTGGAGATGCATCAGTATTTCTCAGAGTTTTAAAATATGAAATGCATGTTGTTAAAGCCCCATCAGCAGTTAGCTAGCCCCAATGCATGTTGTTATAGCCCCAACTAGCGATTAGCTAGCCCCAATGCATGTTGTTATAGCCCCATTGCATATTGTTATAGCCCCAACCAGCGGTTAGCTAGCCCCAATGCATGTTATTATAGCCCCCAACAAGCAGTTAGCTAGCCCCAATGCATGTTGTTATAGCCCCAACCAGCAGTTAGCTAGCCCCTATACATGTTGTTATAGCCCCATTGCATATTGTTATAGCCCCAACCAGCGGTTAGCTAGCCCCAATGCATGTTGTTATAGCCCTAACCAGCGGTTAGCTAGCCCCAATGCATGTTGTTATAGCCCCAATGCAAGTTGTTATAGCCCTAACCAGCTGTTAGCTAGCCCCAATGCATGTTGTTATAGACCCAATGCATGTTATAGCCCCAACCAGCGGTTAGCAAGCCCCAAACCAGTGGTTAGCTGTGTTTGCAGCAGATATTTGTGATAAATGGATTGATTAAAAAATAAGATTCATTGATTTATTGTTTGCTTCTCTATATGTTTGACACAACAAGCTTAATACATTAATACATGAGTAGATCAATACCTATTGTAATGGGCAGCAAGAATGGTTTTAAAATAATATTAAATCTACAAAGGTCTGTTGTTGTTTTTTTTAATATTTAAAATAAATAATTAAGTTGATATCAATTTTCAACTGTTTCCTGCTCCATTTTGTTAGAATAAAGACTAAAGACTAAAATAGTTTTAAAAACTGAGCGAAATTTTACAGTGTTCACGCTGCTGAGTATAACACATATTTATGTCATACTAGATGGATAATAAATATAATTGGTTGAATGTTTGAAATAGAAACCATAGCAACCGCAATAGTAACCAATATATTATGTCAATGTTTTATATTTCAGGAGGTGCAAATATTTGTTTTAATTTCACACAAAAATGTTCACTGTTCCTTCTACTGGATTAAGTGAAAATTTATCCCTAAAAATTTAACATAATTTGGGTCCAAATCAAAGACACATTATTTTAAGTATCTATCATTTCCTTGCTTGGTATTAGCTTGTTAACCAAAAAAAAAAAAAAACCATTCAATGCACATAACAGAAAATAAGTGACAAAATCTATCTTGTAAAGTATAGTGTTATTCAGCAAGTTGTAATGATCCACTTTATACACAACATTCAGAATAAAATTCAATAAATATCATCTATGATAAAACAATATAAATTACATTTGATCCAGCTTCAACAACACAATGCCTGGCAAACTAGGCTGGCTTTCTCAGAGTGGCATACTAGGCTGGCTTTCTCATAGTGGCATACTAGGCTGGCTTTCTCATAGTGGCATACTAGGCTGGCTTTCTCATAGTGGCATACTAGGCTGGCTTTCTCAGAGTGGCATACTAGGCTGGCTTTCTTATATTTTTTGTTTTATATCTTTCTTTAGAAATGTAGTTTTTAAAATCTTTCAGCATCATTTAAACTTCACTTTTCATGAATCAAATATATTTAGGATTGGTTAAATGAAGTTCTCATACTCATGACAAGATGGTGTGTAAAATATCTTGTTTCTGTTCCCTTTGATACTTAAACGAACTCACACGAACAATTAAGAGAATTTATTTTTAAACAAACCCGATAAACTCAGCAAACACACAAATGAATGAAAACAACGTGTCATTTTCAAACAACTTGTCATTTTCAAACAACTTGTCATTTTCAAACACACCACTGATAATAATTCAACCTCCCATTGGGTGCGCAAGGATCCATCACAGTTAGCAGCCCCTGTATTCATTTGATCATATAAATAGAGTTAACTGAGCAAGCAATGCTGACTTTGTGGGCATTTCCCACCAGCCGTACCCTGAAATTTCAGGTCTATAATTCTTGCACCCTGTACTTAGTAAGAGCTGGGTCAAAGGTTCATTTGAAGGTGTCTACTTTTATCATCGGTGGCGGCCTTACTCGTGGTTGTGTATTGGCGACCACTGTGTTGACTAGAGCTATAATTCTAGACGTAAGAAGAAAGCTCTAGGTCAAAGCATTTCTTTGTTACAGGAACATCGAAGGCAGGAACTACACAATTCAATTTATTCAGAATCAAAGGAAGTTGTTAACATTCATTGATAAACATGTTAGCTCATTTACTCATCCACCCCAATGACTCATCCACCCCAATGACTCATCCACCTCAATGACTCATCCACCTCAATGACTCATCCACCTCAATGACTCATCCACCTCAATGACTCATCCACCTCAATGACTCATCCACCTCAATGACTCATCCACCTCAGTGACTCATCCACCTCAATTACTCATCTACCTCAATTACTCATTAATCTCAATTACTCATCCATTCTTTTAAATAATAAAAAATTTTAAATGCACCATACCATACTGAAATAAATAACCATGTGGCAGTCATTAGTGTTGCTGTGTAACATATTTCAAACCTACTATGTAACTATTGGCAAAAATATAAATATTGTCAGTCTACAGTGCGGCTATATCTATTACTGGCTAGAAATTAGGTCAACTATACAGTTGATGATTTTGCTGCCCCTCGGACAGGTCAGCAGGTCCATGTCAGGTTGAGAGATTTTATCAGACAAGAGCTGATCCAGTTCAAATCTCAGATCTTTAACCAACTCGGCCACCTGAAAGGATTTTTACATGATGAATATCAGATATGTGATTAGCAGATCAAATAAGTATAGACCTGAATTGTGCCACATGGATATCAGATATGTGATTAGCAGAACAAATAAGTATAGACCTGAATTGTGCCACATGGATATCAGATATGTGATTAGCTGATCAAATAAGTATAGACCTGAATTGTGCCTCATGGATATCAGATATGTGATAAGCAGATCAAATAAGTATAGACCTAAATTGTGCCACATGGATATCAGATATGTGATTAGCAGATCAAATAAGTATAGACCTGAATTGTGCCACATGAATATCAGATATGTGATTAGCAGATCAAATAAGCATAGACCTGAATTGTGCCACATGGATTCATCTTAATTAAGACTAAAAAGACACATTAAAACAGGAAGCAGCATTAAAAAGTGAAATTCATATTTCCTGTTCGGGTTGGACAGTCCGGTGGTGTGGAGTCTGACAGAACCAAGGGGGCCAGCATAAAGCATTACCCTATAGTTATTCTCTGGAGTTGTGACACAGACACATCATTTCCTCTGGCTACAGTTACAACATACAAAGTGGAAGCAATGAAGTTGTATTAACTACAGTAAATTATCAAGTAAATATAGTTAAGTTATAGCTGACCTGAGTTGAGGAAGCCAAGAACTGGATCCAGCCATCATCCACAGACAATATAAAGTTACCTTGATACAGCTCAATGGATATACCACCTCCACCAAACAACAAGAGTGGATACACAGACACCATTGAGCAATCTCGGATGTAAACCTGGAAAAAATAGTTCAGCATGTCATGGCAACACTGTATCACAAGATGATGTGGTGGACCCAATGAGTTGTGTTCTACTGGGACTGGGAGGCCAAAGCATGTCATGGCAACACTGTATCACAAGATGATATGGTGGACCCCATTAGTTGTGTTCTACTGGGAGGCCACAGCATGTCATGGCAACACTGTATCACAAGATGATGTGGTGGACCCCATTAGTTGTGTTCTACTGGGAGGCCACAGCATGTCATGGCAACGCTGTATCACAAGATGATATGGTGGACCCAATGAGTTGTGTTCTACTGGGAGGCCAAAGCATGTCATGGCAACACTATCACAAGATGATATGGTGGACCCCATTAGTTGTGTTCTACTGGGAGGCCACAGCATGTCATGGCAACACTGTATCACAAGATGATGTGGTGGACCACATTAGTTGTCTTCTACTGGGAGGCCACAGCATGTCATGGCAACACTATATCACAAGATGATATGGTGGACCCCATTAGTTGTGTTCTACTGGGACTGGGAGGCCAAAGCATGTCATGGCAACACTATCACAAGATGATATGGTGGACCCAATGAGTTGTGATCTACTGGGAGGCCACAGCATATTCCAGATGCTCCACATGAGAATGATGGAAAATTGTGAGCCCCAGATTGATCAGAAGGAACAAAAACCAAATCACAGTTTAACATATTTAAACACATTGCACTTATTTTGTTAGACCATTGAAGTTTCAAACTTATAATTTATAATGGTCATTAGTCTCTTTGCCCTACTTGTCAACAAGGGCTTAGAAGAAAATAATTATTACAGAAATTATGTTGGAGGAAAAACTTAAATCTAAAAATGTGACATTTAAGTAAAAGACAGTTATAAATAAAAATTTATCACATAACAACTACGATTATTATAATATATTAAAGTAAATGCACACACTTTGCTTGTCTTAACTTTCTCGTGGTACACAAGGTACGGACTGGTAAATTGTCTCATATGGAAGTTGACAGATGATGGATGGATGTGCACCTTTAAAAAAGAAATTTGAAAATTCAGATAAAAAAGATTTCAGATTAATTCACTCTAGGATGATGAACTTTTAAATCTGAAACATCGAATTGGTGAGAACCAAAAACCTACCCATGGATGATGAACTTTTAAATCTGAAACATCGAATTGGTGAGAACCAAAAACCTACCCATGGATGATGAACTTTTAAATCTGAAACATCGAATTGGTGAGAACCAAAAACCTACCCATGGATGATGAACTTTTAAATCTGAAACATCGAATTGGTGAGAACCAAAAACCTACCCATGGATGATGAACTTTTAAATCTGAAACATCGAATTGGTGAGAACCAAAAACCTACCCATGGATGATGAACTTTTAAATCTGAAACATCGAATTGGTGAGAACCAAAAACCTACCCATGGATGATGAACTTTTAAATCTGAAACATCGAATTGGTGAGAACCAAAAACCTACCCATGGATGATGAACTTTTAAATCCTAAACAACAAATTGTTGAGAGCCGAAGACTTATACTGCAGCCAGGTAAAATTTATTGACATCTTCACACCTACATCACAGGTCTGTTAGTGTTAGATATTTGGAGTTTTTTAGTTTTTTTAATTGTTTCACTTCATTTTTGGTGTTTTTAGTTTTCATTGGAGAGCAGGGTTCATGGAGGTTCTGAGCTTGGCTATACCATTTTTGTATATGGTTTATACCAGGGGTGGCCAACCCAAACGGCTCGACAGGACATTTTGATTGCAAGTCTAATTTTGCCAGACGTCATGTCATTACACATAACATAAATACACATGCCGCACAATCATACAAATAAATTTTATCATTCATTAATTTCAACTGAGGGTTTATAACAACAATGAAACGAAGCGCAAATTGAATGAAGAAATGTGTGATTCGCCTGGTGGGGGACACAATTTATCCCTGATGAAGACTTTCACTAGTTTCAGTCAGTCAAAATTAAAGATCTTTTACATTAAAAAAATATATTTATTTCCCCAACATTTTCACGATTTAAATTCATAATCTGATAAACTTTTCTAATGCGAATCAAAAAAAGAAGTCAAAAATTTATAAGTATTTTTTGTCAATGAAATTACTCAATCCCTAATAAC